GGGCACTGGGGGTGGCGGGGGGCGAGAGGAGGGAGCGCAGGCAGCAGGGCGGGAACGCTCGGGGGCGCTCCCCGCGAAGACCCGGGCCTACACCGGCCGGCTCCGTGCTAAGCTCCGCTCGGGCCGTGCGGGCCGCTCCTCCCCGCTTCAGGCAGGGCAGCCTCTCAGCCACCTCGGTTCGGCAGTCCCAACCACCACTGCGTCGGCTTCCCGTCTCCATGACAATAGCGCGGCCGAAGCCCCGCCCCATCCCGCCCCTTCGGCGCCCGGACTCCGAGGGAAGCGGGGTGACGTCACCAGGGGCGGAGCCAACAGAGGCCGACGTCCAATCAGAGGTGAAGGCAGTGTAAGGGAAAGGCTGGGCGGGCCGCGAGGTTGTCGGAGAATGTAGTCTGCGCGGTCAGTCTGCTTGGGAGGCGGAGCCTGGGCGGGGGGAGCAGACGGAGGGGAGGAGTCAGCGGGCGTCCGTGAAGGCGCGCCGACGAGCCGGTACCAGTGTGATCGGCCGGTTAGTTTGTGCCGGGCCGGGAGCTCAGGAAATAAAGTGTATATCGCCCGTCAAAGTCATTGCAAGAAACTTTGTATGTAGTTATGCTTCGGCTTTCGTGTGGTCCCATTATAAAAGGCCACAAAGTCCCTGTTATACCGAGATTCAGTGGCGTGCCCAACAGTGTGCCAGCCCCTGTCCTGGTTCACCAGCGCCCCTGTCTGACCCAGAGTTCGAGTGCGTCCGTGGCTTGTAGCGGCGGGAGATGGAGAGACCGGGAGAGTGTTTTGTATTCTAACTGTGTGGCTGTCGTGGGCAAGAGCTCTGCCTGTGACTCAGTTGTGTGTGTTTGCCTCGCCAGCGCCTCGCTGAACAAACAGTGGTTGGGTTGGGCACTGCTCTGCCGAGTGTTTGCAGTGGAGCGTGGGCGGGTGCGAGAGTGCGTGCGAAGAGAAAGGCGACTTAGTTGAACAAAAGGGAAGGGGACCCGCACCCTCCACCACCACCGACCTGGCGGGGTGAGCTGCCGATGGAGAGCCCAGAGAAATAGGCTGCACGAGGCATGGGGGTCGGGGTGGGAGCGGTCCTGAGACCTACGCGGGTGTAGCTGCTTCTCCGTCCGGCAGTTCTTGCCCACTACCGCTCCTTTAGAGAAAAGCTACCCGGTACTCCCAGGCCCCCAGTGTGTCTCCTCCTTCGCTGGCTGGCGGGGGGTCCGTGGAAGAAAGGCCGCGCCGCAGACGTGCAGACGTCCGAGGCTGGTCTCTCGCCCACCTGCTGCTGCTGGCGCAGAGGGCCAGTCACCTTGGACTCCCTACGCCCTTGGCGTGGGCATCCATCTGGCTCTCCCGCGGACCTTCATTCCCGATCTCCAACTTGCTCTCGGCCCTCCCTGGACTCAGGGAGAAGCCGGAGGTGGGTGGTGACGAACCGCCTCGGAGCCCAGCCTC